GAGCTTTCATTGGATATAACCCATCGAAACATTGAAAAAGTGCATTGGGTGAAGTTAATACGCTGACCGAAAAAAACCGTTCGCATCTCTGGCAATTTCATGGTTTGTACAAAATATGTGTCCACTCACCACTTTGCATTAATTTTTATTACAAAAATCCAATAAAAACGTTTCTGACCATTTTTCATTACATAACAGAAGCAACGGCAGTTAACTAATCGAGTCCTCAACATTGTACATTGCATCTAGGCATAACGGCAGTATTATGTACAAATTGCATACGATTCCATACCGCCAAAAGCAAATTTAATTCGTGTATAAAAACAGCTATGTGCCTTAAAGCGCAAATGTTGTTCATGTCGTAATTGGTCAAAAAACTTGATTTTTTTCATAAATCAATAACGATCAATCAAATACGACATTTGCAAAATATTGCCTATTGGCACCAGGAATCAGTTTTTTGCTCTCCTGAAAAGTTATTTAAAAACACATAATTGTTTTTGTTGGCGCAGCGACGATATGTTGAACACGACGCTGGGGATATTTCAGACAGAATTGTCGCAGCGCGAACTGCTATTAGGCTAAGAGAAACTTTCGAGTTTTTGCGATAAATTTTGAATTCTACCATCTCACATTTTAATAGTGGCCATCTGGCAATTTTCGGTAAGGTCCATAAATCGTTTTGATTATTCCGGCACAAAAAAAATGTCGCGTGCTTTTTACTAGACCCACCTACCGACATGTATTTCGACCCACTGAATTCAAATCTGAGGTCCGTTTGACACGTACACTAAATTAGGAAAAAGCGAAAAAATAGCAAAAAAATTTGCAATTTTCGCAATTTACTCGGAATTTTGTACGAGTCAAACGGACGGTTAAAAGCACCCGCAACTTGTTTTTGTGTGCCGGTGCCACTATTCCGTGAGTCGCAAATATCGGCACATTCCGAACGAAAAATGACACTGTAATTGGCACAACGTCGAAACCGGTTTGTCTCCAAACCAAATTTGACAAGGGATGATGGAAAATCGCTCCACATTACATCATACTCCTGCCCTGTCGGAAACACCAATAACGAAAATGAAAATAACGGCACATGCAGCAATTAATTGTAAGAAAAATATTTTCTAATAAAAAAAAATTATTATAATTGTCAATAGCGTTTTCAATCTTGATAATTTATCAAGAAAATAGATTTAAACTTCTGTGCTAGAACTGGGGGTTCTTGATTAATAATCAAAAATTGACAAATTATAAAAATATGGAATTTATTAAGTCACAGAAACGGAAAGTATATGGGCAAATCTAAAAAACAGGTAACCTTGGTGTTTTTTAGCTTTATTTTCACTGTTGGAAACTATATCAAGCTGGTTGCTTTTGGATATAATTAATTGACGTATACTTGAAGCCTCAAAAAAAATTTGGATCAATTTGCCGCATAACTTTTGAATTATAGGTGTTTAAATAAAAAATAATAATGAAAACAAGTGAATTTTTTATGTAATTTTTAAGAGGTGAAAAATTAATTATGCCATAACTTTTGAAGCACACCATATACTGATTTGAAATTGTATGTGCAATTAGTACTTATGTGTACACTTCAAATGTAGTAGGTAAGAAAATTGTGCATTAAAAAATAAGGAAATGGCAAGTAACTCAAAGTCTGTAATTCCACATTTCACAATTTTCAAAATTTTCGGTTTATCGCGTATAGTTTTTGAAGCATTTAAGTTTAAGAACTTTTTAAGTATGTATTGTATACTACAAACAATTACAAATAATTTCATACCTGAGCAAGAGCTGTGCTTTCAGAATAAACCAACTTTTAAAGATAAAATATTCTGCGATCTTGAGCGTAATTTTTATTCCAAAAACACTTTAATTAAATCCACATTTGGAAAACACGTCGAAACGATCTAAATCTTTTTATAACTGCTAGTCCTTATAAAATTATATATACCTGTAAAATGCTTCTAAAAATTTATCTCTAGAAGTGTGTAAAAACCCTGATTTACTACTCTTAATGATGCTACTTCTTTTAGTCAGAATATTTCGAGAGTGGTATCAAAGGAACTTTTTTTCGACAAATGTTCTGATAGTTGCTCTTACTTAATTGGAGCCTTCTGAATTCAATGGCGTCCTAAGTTTTACCCTATTGGCTCGAGATAGCGGTACTTGAAACTTTCCTTAAATTTTAACTATTTTATAAAAGAAAGTCCCTGGGTTTTGAAGATATTTTACTAAAATTTTGCACATAACCGTTTTTTTAATATTACCTTAACTATTCCATAAAATCATCGAAATCGGTTCACTAAAACATATAGCTTCCATACAACTGATTGATCTGAGACGTTGTTTTGCGTTATAACTCCTTCAATTAAACAGGTTAAAATTTAGTATAGGTTCAATTTAACATATAGCACGCATACAATTTATTATTCAGATATGAAGTTAGAGTTATTGCGCAAAAACACATATCTGAGTAATCAGTTGTATTGGAGCTATATGTTAATGTTAACCTATTTCGATAATTTTAAGGAATAATTAAGGTAATATTAAAAAACTGTTATGTGCAAAGTTTTAGTAAAATAACTTCAAAATTGAGGGAGTTATTTATAAAATAGTTAAAATTTAATCAAATTTTCAAGTACCGTTATCTCGAAAACCGGAGCCAATCTGGTAAAAGAGGGCATGCCATTGAATTTAGAACATCCCAATTAAGTGAGTTCAACTTTCAAAATCTTTCCTCAAAGCTTACAACTTGAACAGCGTAATTTCAACCCAGCTTATTCTTTTGTTTTCTATTTCATGCTTATTCCTCGTCTAACTTTTGAAGCACTTGATGAATATGAATTACACTTATATTAATATATTTATTAAGAGATTACGAATAAAATGATATATAAAACATAGGTGTGCTCACAAATTTAAAAATTAAAATTTTTTGTTTGAAAGTGTACCTATTTTTTAGATTTGCCCATATACACATTTGTTGTGAAATATAGCAGTTTAAGTCAGTATATTATTTTCTCAGTGACGAAGTGAAGATTTTGGTAGTGAAGATTTGGTAACTTTTGGTAAAAATGTTGGCGAGTGGCAACCATGGTCAAGAGGAAGATGAAGTGGCATCATCTCCACACTTTCTTTTAGACTGTCCAACCTTCGCGAGGCTAATACCGAAGCATTTTGGCTCGCACTTCTGAACAGCTCTCATGGACCGAAATTAGCCGCATTCAAAATTTCGTAATCAAGAATGATAGAATACAAGATTGCGCCGATTGCAGCAGAATTCGTGAGAGTAATTTTAGCGTGACGTCATCGTAGAGTTGACAACTGAGAGCGGCGAGAATGAGGGCGACTAGTGATGTGCTGAATTGTGCCCAATACTCGGTACCCAATACTTAAAAAAGATTTCGGTATCCGATACCGATTATTTACATTAAACCCTCGCCATTATATGCATTTCAGGTTTAGAAAAAACTTTCATTACTAATTTATATGATATCGGCTAAAACACTTGTACTTATCGCCACAGAAAAATATTATTTTATCAGTTTTAACCTTAGTCGATCCAAGGTTCAAGAAAAATACTTTGACGGATGAAGAAGCCTTTCAGGGGAGAGATTCTGTAGCCAGTTAGCAACAAGTTTCGGATCGATATCGCCCTTGTTGACTTAGAAATATTTGATATCAAACGTCGACAAAAACGATACCGATTCGAAAATTGTCGTTAACTGGTTACAGAATCTGTCCCAGGCCTACAAAAATGATATCGTCCGATTCAGCTGGAACAAAAATGCTTCAAACAAGTAAGGGTTTCTCTGTATTATGGCATCGAACCGACATATATACATCTTTCATTTGATTACGAAATTTTGAATGCGGCTAATTTCGGTCCATGAGAGCTGTTCAGAAGTGCGAGCCAAAATGCTTCGGTATTAGCCTCGCGAAGGTTGGACAGTCTAAA